GAAATTCGGGTCAGACATCGAGGCACTTCGGTGAGTAACCGGAGTACTTCAGATGTGTGACCCGAACCCTTCGGTATATTTCCAAGTGCTTCAGATGTCTGACCCGACCTTCGGCAGCTGGACCTCAAGTTTTTAGACACGTGATCCGAAAACTTCAGAGATCCGTATGACCTCAACTTCGGGTCCCACGTACCAAGTTTTTTTCTCCGTGAAAACCTGGAAAAGTCGGGCAAGCGTATCTTCGAATCTCCTGCCATACCGCATCGTGTGGAACCGGCCGATAGGACTTGCAAAATTTTTGAAAAGTGTACGCAGCATCTACTTCAGAGAAAAGTATACAAGGATTTTCCGAGGAGTCGAGAAGAAATTGAAAGTTGATACTCAATTTTTGATCATGCATTTCGAATTTTCCTTAGGTGGATGCTCACAAATCAGCGAGGTTTGAAATTTCACGAAACTCACGATCCTGTCCGGGAGGATTTCCAATTTTGGAAATAACAAGGTGAGCGGATGAAGTCATTCTTGGAAAAAATTTAGCCGTTGCAGACAGGGAAAGTTGTTAAACCTCTGTGCGCATGCGTAATCGATGAGATCCTTTATACGTTTGCGACAATCGGTTTCTCTGCTCAACCAGACATCAGTATGTCATGTCAACTGTAAATATACTCCGAAGAGACGTTTTTCGGGTCGGACTTGAGTAGTACTGCCGTGCTATGGAGAAACGCCGTATGATCATTCAAGAATTATCGAATTCCCCGAAAAAAGCGTGTATTTATAAGAGGAAATTTATGAATGTTTTTCCTTGAAATTTTCAGATACTGTAGATTAAACTTCGAACGAAATTTTCTGGAAGAATTTGGAAGAAAAACATGCGCAAATTTCTCTGAGAATTCGTATTTAATCGAAGAAAATTTGACGACGTCTGAAGGCCCATACGACGTTCTCCCTTAGCGCGATAAAGCGCGGTAGGTTAGTACTCGTCATATTTCAGTGTTGCCATAATTTCTTCGTCTTCAAAATCTCTGACTTTTCCCTAACTCCAAAACTGTCTTATTCCCCGACTTTCCCTGACCTTGGAACAAAATTTCCACTTTTTTTAAAAAGAAAAAAAATACGCCAACTTTCGGACAACATTTCCTTGTTCAGGACCAGATTAAAGAAAAAGGCATCCAGTAGCCGGCTGAACGATGACAAGCTTTAAAAAGGAACAGAAAGGGAACAGTTGAAATGAAAAGTAGGAAGATCAGTGAAATGTTTCAGTGATAGGTGGATGTGTCGGAAATTCCTTCACTTTTCCCGGGCGTCGGAAATCCTCTGACTTTTCTGCTTTCCAGACCGGTACTACCCCTACATTTATACTGCCGTGCTAAGGAAAAACGCCGTATGAGCCCTCAGGCGTTGCCAAATTTCCTTCGATAAAATGTTTATTTTAGAGGAAAGTTATGGATATTTTTCCTTGAAATTTTCAGACACTTCCCTAGTAAAAATTGGCGGTAGAATGTGTGTTCCAAAATACTATAGACCTTGGGCCGGTTGTAAGATTTCCAATAGCTTCTGTAGCCGGCTGTACAATTTTCTTAAAGCATTTTATAGCCGATGGCGATTAAGCAACAGCCAGACAAAAAAGTTTATGCTAAACGTTACTAAATACGGATACTAAGACTTACTTAGTTTTTGGACTACCGCTCTCTTTTTTTGCCGTAGTGTCTTGATTTATTTTGCGAGGAAAGCTCCGTACTTTTGAAGGATGCCTGTCATTGTTGGAGCGCCTTCAATTTCTTATGATACTGTGCAATACATCTGGTGTGAAATAGTTGCTCCAGACGCCGTGGCACGCTGCGGCGCGGCGGGCGGGCAGAGAGCGCGAAACGCGCACTGGCGCCTACAAACCTAACAGGGATACTCCACGCATTGCGCAATGCGTAAGGTATCCCTGTTAGGTTTGTAGGCGCCAGTGCGTCGCCGCTCCGCTTTGTGTTAGGCTCTAATATTTAATTTCGCGGAGTCAGCGTTTTACAACTCATGATTTTGAAATGTTTGCACACTCTGTATGGATTATTCTCATTTTCTTAATTGATGAAAAAAATATGGTTGAAAGGAAAATATAATGTGTGTTTTGTAAATATTCAGGTAGTTCCGTATCAAACTTGATAATTTCCAAAGCACACGAATTTTTACACAATTTCTTATAGCCTTTTGTAGCCAATGGCGATAAAGTGTAAAGCCCGGCAATAGGAACTATAGCCCGACTGACTACTTTTTTATAGCTTCGTATAGCCCGGCAATATGATTTGCTCCGCTTTCTACAGCCAGCTATATGATTTTCAATTGCCTTCTTCAGTCGGCTTTGTGAACTCCTATGGTATTTTGAAACGCAGCTCCTATCGTCAATTTTTACCAGGGTTCAGATGAAATTGCAAACTAAATTGTCTACAAAATTGGAAGGAAAATATTCATAGGTTTACTGGAAAATTCGTGTTTCATCAAAGGAAATTTGGCAACGCCTGAAGGCTCATACGGCGTTTTTCCTTAGCATGGCAGTATACTCGGGTGGTTTTTCCCCCTTTTTTTTCTTTTCTTTTCAACGGGTAAATATTTCTTTGGCGGCAGAGGGAGTATCGGTGTAGCGGGTCAATTGTTTTCTCTGCGCGCACGGTGGTGAACTTGGCGAGGACTGGAATTTTGTAATGGGCAGCGCGTGCGATAATTTTTTCCGGGAAACGCGCGACGTCGGCGCGGGTGGGTAGGTGGCGCGGCGGTGGCGATGGCTTCGGATTAACTTTTTCGCGTCGAATTTTCGCCGTGACCTTGCGTCTTGCGTGGGCATCGGAGCTTTGTCCTCACGACGAGTCGGATCCCGACCCAAGCGAATATCTCCGCTTCGAATCGAGCCTTGTTCCGCTTCATGTTCGCTCCATCGTTGTCGCGCCAGCCTACGGAAAAGAGATCCATGGATCCACCCCAATGGGGCCGTTGCACGCAAAAGACACAGCCAAATTAATATACTCTAGGTCAGGGTTGCCACAGAATGCAGAAAATGAAATTCCCTGACACATTTTGGTGGAATTCCCTGGCCATTGAAGATGTGGCGGATGGTTAAGAAGGCACAATTGAAAATAGTTTTCAGGCAAAATGTGTTGTTCGAAACCTCAAACCCATTCTAGAAAGCAAATGAAGGCGATTTAACAAATTTCCCGTGACCTTTTCGTCATTTTTGCCATTTTCCCTGACATTTTCCGGTTTTCCCTGACTTCTTAAGATTCCCTGACATTTCCCAGTTTTCCCTGACGGCAGCTATAGGATTGAGCGAATGTCCTCTTTTTACCTTTTTGGAGATGTATAGGATTGCGCGAATTTGTCTGGTACTGAAAATTCGCATGTTTGGGCGAATATTCGATGTTCAACGAGAAAATGTTTATCAGTCAACTTTGGTAGTTTGTGGTAGATAACGGCATCGGGGAAGGCTGTTCATCCCATTCTCACTTAAGGTAATGTCTCTCTTCGACGGATAGCCCTAGCAGCACGAATGGCCAAGAGAGCTCTCATAGACTTTGAAAAAAGCAAACTAAGGGCCTGTGGCCGCTGCGCGACCGCCAACCACTGTAAGAAACTATCCACGTGAAAAATCGTGGAACAACCCTGTTCAAATTTTTTAAGGGATGAATGGATTCAAACCCCGACGAGTGCTCCCGAAAGAAAGCGTATATTCATCTCTGATTGAAACATTATGCACCACTTTCATGTTTTATTTTTAGTGAATGTTTATGAAAAGTTACACACAGTTTTTCTGAAAAGATTCTGCGAATTTACCTACATGATCTCAAATAAGTATCGAAAATTTCGCCGCGATATTTTCGTTCATTCTATTTTATTTTAAAGTAACCAAAAAAAAAAAAAAAAAAAAAAAAAAAAAAAAAAAAAAAAAAATTGAATATCATCCGAGTTTCTGGATCGTTGCAATGAGGATATATATTTTCCCTTTAATTATGGTAAAAACTGGAGCAGAAATTCAAGAATGAAGGCACGCAGTCTTACAGCATTCCTACAATCTTGTAGGATGCGTTTCGCGCCAACTGACTGCCTGCACTGCGTTTGATGCAATGCGAGAAGTATTTATGCCGTCTTGTAGGCGCTACTACGGGCCTCACGCCGACCGCACTGTTTGGCGCAATGCGTGAAGTTTTCCGAAAGTCTTGCAGGCGCTAATATGTGTTTATCGTCGCGCCGGCTGCACTGTGTTTTGCGCGATTAATCGAACTTGCATTAAGATAATTGCGGCATCGATTAATTGTGTTTCAGAGGCCCATGTTGGGTTTCGCCGCTGTATGAGCATTCCAGCGTTGCCTCGTTTCTCCCGATTGAATAAATTATCCGAGAAAAGTTGGGAAAGTTCTTCATACTCGCGACCATTTTTCAATCTTCTCACTTCATTTATCATCAAATGGTAAGACATCGATGACTTGTCAACAAACCAACATAAACTAGCGTTAGCATAAAAATTCGTATAATTCCCAACTGTTTCCTGTTTTGCCAAACTTCTACCTTAAATCTACTTCATTTTAAATTCGCACATCCTTGTAGCAGATGTTTAGGTTTTCTAATCGCGCAATCCTTGTGCCTTTTTCGCGCAATCCTCGTGTACTTTCTGAGACCTTTCGCGGAATCCTGGATTACCGTCCCTGACTGTGGCAACCGTGTTGGTGGGTGAAATCACACAAAAATCACTTTGGGCAAGTTAAAAAATTCTAAAGTCCATCACTCAACTCGCAATCTGCGTAGTTTAAAGAAAATCGCCATACACTTTTTTCAGTGTGCTATCTGGAGTGCATGTACTTGCGGATACACTGAAAAACCACGGATTCTAAAGGTCAGCAAGACGGTTTGGAAAACGTACGGATCTTTCCATCTTAGGACACGGAAATCCCAGATTTCCGCGATAAACTTTAAGTAGGGGCCTCATAGGTAATAAATTGTTTAAATACATTCTTCATATGTTCCAGGTCTAAACCTCGGACACCTTATACAATAAGCTTAAACCATCAAATCACGATTCTGTAACTAGCGCAACTGACCCATTTCAAGTTTTCCAGGCTACTGCGGGCTGATTATTGAAATTGATAGACAAAGCGATAGAAAAAGAAGACAAAAAGGATATGGAGGGATCCTATTGGTAGAAGAGGGTGGTTGCAATGGACAAAGGACGTAGGTAATAGACTAACTAACAGCAACCCACAAGAGAGCCGATAGTTACTGCATCATTATCTCGGGATCGCTCCACGCTCCCTATATCTTCTTTGTCTATAAATTTCAACAATCGGCCCGCTGGGAATAGTTAGTCAATCATTTACCCCCTTAGTCTATTAGAACCACCCATTTCAGTCAGAAGGATCTCTCCATACTACGTATATATTCTTTGTCTATCGCTTTGTCTATCAATTTCGAAGATGAGCCCGCTGACTCGACAGGAGGAAGATTTCACGACGGATTCATTTGAAAGACGGAATGAAATTAGCCGTCGAGAATGCGGTAGGAGGTTGCCAGCATGTTATTAACATGCATTTCAACCTTGCGTCAATTTTTAAGTACTGCCGGTCGGCTCGCTGCGGCGCGGACGAAGGTTGCCGAATTATTATTATCCGAGCCGCGGCGATAAAACGCGAGAAACCATACAACACACGTGCTACAGTGCGTTTCGCGTGTTCGCCTCGCCGATAAGGAAGCGGAGAAATCAAATTACCACTTCAACCGTCGCGTTCCACCGGTTGCCGCCTTGTGCCCCAAGTTTCTACTTCGGGGGGCGAAACGCCGGCCAAAATGCCCCATTCTTGCGTAGTGCGTGAAGAGCCCTCCATTTTTCCGATTTAGGTTGCAACAAGTCGTATTGACTGAACTTGTTTGGGTCTTCAAATCAGCGCTCCTATTCCATGTATGTCAAAATTTCCGGGATTCGGAATTTTATTTATCTAACTTCTTACATTCCACGACCGTCAAACAAACCGGGACTCCTGTTAAATTTTTAAAAGTTCCGGGGAAAATTCGGGGAAATCTCCAAAGTTCCGGAATTTGGAACTAGTTCCGGGAAGTGGGAGCACTGCTTCGAATAGGCTCGTGCATTCCTCCGATACCTGGATTTCGCTCCCCCGGCGTATCTACCGTGCTAAGGGGAAACGCCGTGCGAACCTTCATACGTTGCCAAATTTCCTTCGATAAAATACAAATTATGAGGAACACCTGTGAATATTTGCCGTCCAATATTCCAAAGAATATTTTGTGCAACCTTATCCGAGATATCTGAAAATTTGTGGCAGCTATATTAGTAATTTTTCCCAAAACATATTATTAAAGGGGGGGGGAGGATTTGGCAACGTGTTAACGTTCATATGAAATTTTCCCTTAGCATGGCAGAAACGTATAAACCAAACTATGTGGACTACTTGAAAAAAGGAACCTTAACGAAGGTATTGAACAGTCATGCAATATGCCCGTGTTAAAGATTACTGAGCTTGGAAAAAATGTAAAATTTACAGAGGGCTGAACAGAAAAAAATATTCAACCCGAACGGAAAACTTTGGAGTAAATGAAAAGGTAAAAGCCGAAACACACCAGCAGAGTTACTCCGATATTCCGTGCGCCGGTACAAGGGGTGATAACGCTCTACCAAGAATCTAACGGCAAAAAATGTGTCAAAAGCTGTATGGAGCGGAGGGAGGGGGGACGGGGAAAATTATTTTGAGCGAAATGGCAACACTGTGAAACGACACCNTAATGAAGGTATTGAACAGTCATGCAATATGCCCGTGTTAAAGATTACTGAGCTTGAAAAAAATGTAAAACTTACAGAGGGCTGAACAAAAAAAAATATTCAACCCGAACGGAAAACTTTGGAGTAAATGAAAAGGTAAAAGCCGAAACACACCAGCAGAGTTACTCCGATATTCCGTGCGCCGGTACAAGGGGTGATAACGCTCTACCAAGAATCTAACGGCAAAAAATGTGTCAAAAGCTGTATGGAGCGGAGGGAGGGGGGACGGGGAAAATTATTTTGAGCGAAATGGCAACACTGTGAAACGACACCCATCGGCGAGGAAAACTGCAACGATTCCCGCGGAGCGATCCGCACTGCTCGAGTGTGCCGCAAAACGTGAGTCACGTGTCCAGCTACGGGTCCGCTCCTCCCTTTTCCTCTCCTCACCGGCTACCCTGACATTTTACAGTGTCCAAAAATAAAATGCAAATACAAAAAACAAATTAAAAAAATGAATAAATAAAAAATTAAAATAACTCAAGTGAATATCCCAAATTGTCCAGAATTGCCACATTTTCCTGATTTCCACGAGAAAATTCCTTGCTGAACCCCCAGGATTTCCCCTGATTTTCCTGTAGAAGCTCTAAGGGGGGAACACAAGAGCACTTGCCTGTGTTTTGGTGGTTTGAACTTGTGGATCAGCAAAAAGTAACTAGATCTGTTTAAACGTCACATCTCTACATTTAGTGTGGACAAAGATACTAGACGCAGCCCGAACTTTACGAAGGACACAGTAATGTAATTTTCACTAAAATATTTACTGAATTTCATCGTGCTATAGTTTCATCATTGCGTCTGGGAAATCATATACGTGCATTTAGGGAATCTCCCACATGAATACCGCGATATACATGACAGTCGTAAGGCTGTGCTGAATGCAAGGGTTAAGAATCCATGGTGATTACAGGGTTGCCACAGACTTTAGAAAATACAATTCCCTGACATTTTCCTGATTTCCCTGACACATTTCGGCAAAATTCCTTGACAATTGAAGATATGACGGATGGTTAGGAAGGCATAATTGAAAATAGTTTTCAGGCATTTGATGTTCACAACCTCAAACCCACTGTAGAAAGCAAATGAAGGTGATTAAACAGATTTTCCCTGACATTCCCCGGGTTTCCCTGCCTTTCCAAATTCCCTGACATTTCCCGGTTTCCCTGACTGTGACAACCCTGTCTTCTCCGTACAACTCCACGCTTTTCGGGTCTCATGTGGAAATGGAGACAGACCCTTCCGGCAGGGTAGCGGCGAGAGAACATGGGCGTCCGTCGGGTTAGGCAGATTTCCCGGATCATCAGCGACCCCACTTCCGACGGCGGTGGTGGAAACACGAGCTCCGCGGACGACAGGCGAAACCCCTCGGCGAGGCGCCCGCTCCACCCCCGAAGGGGCGCCTCGGCACTCTGCACCGGGCACCCGACCCGGTGCATGCGGGCCACTCCGCCGCTGCACTCGGCTTCCCGACCCGACACCCGGCGGGCGGGGGCGGGGGAGCGGCACGGGAGTCGGGACGGGCATACGAAGGAGGTTGTGTGAAGGTCATTGCACCGACGACGAATGCAAGGGAGCCCCCCCCCTCCGCCCTTCCCGCGAGGCCGCCCCGTCTCCTGCCCGCTTGCTCTTTTACCATTCCGTTATCCGCCGAGAGATACATAACAACCCACCCCCCTCCCCCGTCACCGCGGTGATAGTATCTCGAGTCGTCCCGTACCTGGTCAACCCCGACCACGCTAGGTTCTGTTATCGTGGCTGGGTAAAGTGCGATACCTCCTCATGCATTCCGGGCCGTCACGGAGAATCGGATGCGAGTGTGTGAGTGAAGCTTTCCCATGATAACAGTCGGCTGTCGTGTTCGTCGGAAAAATCCAGTATGGAAAATCCAACTTTTCCATTTTTCCTCTCATGACGAACTTTGATGATGTTTCAAGTATTACAGGGTTGCCACAAAATTTGGAAAGTGAAATTCCCTGACACGTTTGAGCAAAATACCCTGACAAATAAAGATACGCCATGGGGCCAAGAGGAGATAATTTGAAACAGTTTTCAGGTAAAATTTGTTGTCCTAAACGCCGAATGTATTCTAGAAATCTGATAAAGGTGAATTAACAATTTTCCCCTGACACTATCGTCATTTTCCTTGATATTCCCAGATTTTTCCTGAGTGTGGCAACCCTGGTATCAGGGCCGACTGACACCCGCCCCCTTAAAAACCTCCTAGCTCTTCCTCCAAAAATTACGTCCCTCCCCCCCNCCCCCCCCCCCCCAATTATTTAGAGATAACGAAGAAGAATACCTGACAATAGATGAAAAAAAATCATTTTAACTGGAAAATAATCCTCATTTTCAGGTGAATATTATATTAAAGTGGAAGGTTTACGTGAGGGAGGGGGGGGGGGCATAGCGCCCCCGCCCTTCTTGTAAAACCCTGCAGGGCAAATACGAGTGCCAAGTGGCTTGCAAAATACTTGCGCGGCCTCGATGGAACGTGAATTTTCTGGACAATTCGAGAATATTTCGCTTGGAAAGGTCATATATCTACAGAATTTTACTCGCGATGTGATCTACTGTGTCTAAAAATTTCAAGGGAAAATATTCGCAACTTTCCTCAAAATTAGATTCTGAATCAAAGGAAATTAGGCAACCTTTGATTGCTCATACGACAATTTCCCTTGACGCAGCAGTAGGGGCAGTAGGCGTAAAGGTGCAATTATCTACGTCACTCTGTCTTACTGTGATGTGTACTTATACTTAAAAAAGTGGATTAAAAAGGTACTTACCAACTTATTACTTCTAGTAAACTGGTCGAATGATGAGGAACTCAAAACGACCACATGCCAATGTCATACAAGAGCTACATCCATCTGCAACAGAATTCAGAGCCGGAATCAATGAAGAGGAAACTTGTCATTAAGTACGGCGTTCCTCTGACGAAAGATCGTATTATTTTTCCAGATGAGCACCGAAATTAATGGAATTATTATATAATTCTCAATCGTATAATTCTATTCTCGGACATACGAAGGGAGGAAACATACGGATTTGTTAAATCGGACGTATTTCTGCCAAACGGAGCTATCAGCTATGTGCATCAAGACATGAGCCCTGAGACCCGTAAGAATATATGCATAACAGGGCTCACGCCATAATGCACTTTGTTCCAATTGGCAGAAATGCGTTCTTTGAATATTTCGTACTTGA